CTGGAACACTGAGACGTATTTGAGAGCTACGGCTTTCTGAACACATCTTTACTAGATTCACTGGAGGACTTGGTCAACCTGGTGGCCACTGAGCGTACTCATGTGCGGAGGAACCTTCAGTGAAAGCTAGCTGTAAAATAAGGGACCCTTTGCCTGGTGAATGACGTATCGCGGAGTAGCAACAGCATTGCTGCCAGGTAACGCAGGGTTAAGACCTGGTACGTGAATGGAATAGAAGATAATGTGGTCAGGTGGCGTACGTGGACATAGCGACCACGGGCCGGCGTTGTCTTAGTCCTTAGACGAATAAGAATTGTAAAAATGTAAGTAACACTGAAATGTCCATTCCAATATACCTTGTTTTCGTCGGTAATGCCCCCAAATCACTCATTTATGACCGGAAAACCACCGTCCGCGTGAGTTCTGTATTTCGAGCTCTAAGGGAATGCGTAAGTGTTCATATTTGTCCCCCAGTCAATATAACTTGATGAGCGGCACACTGTTTAATGGCGGATTGAATATTCACCTGAAAGTCAGGTTAAGGGCTAGGAAACCCATAGTTGTACCGCACCCCTGCACCACCCTAACAATGAAATTTTTGATCTGAATTGATGTTAGCTCATTCACAGGAACCGACGAATGCGGATCGTTGCCAGCAAAAGCAAAATTTCGCATTTCTTGGCAGGATGTGCGACCTGTCTTTGTGCCTGTGGCCCAGATGCTAGTTCTGATTTCCTGCGTGAGGCGCAATGGAGAAGGCGGAAGTTGGGAGGTGATCACGTACTTTTGTCACACACATGCAGGACAAAAGTGTTGGGCGACAGCCACTTTTCGAGACCAGTCAGTCCCTTTGTGACTGACAGAGTTTAAGTAGTGATTTGAAATAGTAAATTTCGCAACTTAACGCTGTTGGATTGACCACTTGGCGCAGTACTCGACTAACTCGATACGTAGAGGATGTGGCTGACAAAAATAGGCGGGAGAACGTCCAGGAGTGCGTGTAGGGTAAGTGTCCTCGTCTGACTGGTGTACATGCCCGCCTCTCACATTAAAAGACGACAAACAAGGGATTGTGCCACATACTACCCAAAACACTTGAGCAATCGCATTGTGCAATGTGGTTCACGCTGCATAAAACCCCTAGGCTTCGAGAGCTCCTTTCATATTTACCACGATGGTGTCACTGACAGCTGTTCGCGTGATTTTTTGGTTGGTACTGCAGACTTAGGCAAAGCTCAGACAGTGCTCTGGGAAGGGATGGTACCGCGACTTCCATTGTTCCGTCCTAAGGGTCTTACTGCCACTGCTTGTCCCTTCCCCTCCCAGGCTGGCCGCGCCGCTGCTTCCATACACCAGATCGGAGTCACACCTGCTTGCAGCATGCGCTAGTAGGGCTACGCATGAGTCCAAGTAAGATCTTACCTACTGCCGCCCGTATTGGTGGCAAACGGTAGGCGGAGTCTCAGGTCCATCAGTCACTGATCCCTACCAATCGGCCTGTCTCAGACATGCTGCTCCATGCAGGAACGGGGGGCTAGAGTGGCCCATAGTGTGGCATCCTTGCTTTGTGACACTTTAGCGCATTCCTCTTCCTACTAGATTTTACAGTTGACGGAATACCCGAGCCCTCCTCTGGGAGAGAAATCAGACCTCAGTGGACCATTCTCAATGCGTTATCGTTTAGGTTAGCTCGGGATCCACATCGATAAAGTCTATTGCACGCAGAGATGGGGACCAAATCGTGTGTAACGCAATTAACTTAGAGAGAGAGAGGAATTCGCTTTATTTTGAAATCGTAAGTTCAAAATTTTCAGCAAAAAATTGGCTCCATTCACTGTGGGCAGTAAATAGGTTAAGAGATTATTCAAGAGTCAAAGAAACGATTATTATGGGGATAGTTCAAGTCTTAGCTTCTGTATTTCTGTCTCTTCGCACGTAAGATAGCGCGCTAGGACTGGCAATACAGAAGCTCGATAAGCCGATGTGCGACAGGATATAAGTCGGAAGCTGCGGCGCATTAGGCGGGAAGATTTCGCAGACATAAGATCAGAATGTAAGGGATGGGCAACGTCATCTAGAATTCGACCAGCAAATTGCAAAAGTGTCGTTGTAAGATAGTGTCCACTAAAAAAATATAAGAAACACCAGCAGCAGAAGAGAGCATGCGGAGGACTCGTTTCAAAATTAAAAAATCCTTTTTTAGTCAGCCGTTGCGCCTATGACCATGGACCTACAGGGCCCTTGACATTTGGCCACGATAAAAGGGAGAGAGCTTGGTGGATAGCGTTCAAGTTCGCTCCCCGGTAAAGAAAGTCATGCTTCCTTTAGACAGTGGGGAACTTCGCCACTTGGAATAGTCGAAGTGTCTAGTGTATCCCTCACTTGCGTTGAAAACCATAACCCAGGACTCCGAAATTGTGTAGAGGCGTTTTTCCATGAAAAATTGCCGGCAGTATCTGGGCGTGTAAGCATGAGGACTCAGAATAATGATTGCCTTTGAATTTTTTAACGAAAAATCGATCTTCCTGGGAGGTGAAACAAACATTACCATAGTTGTGAGCCTGGCACAATGCGCGCCACCTCAGTGAACTGCTGTTTCCTCTCGCAAAGTCGCACTGATTTCCGCGAACCCAAATGCGATGTTGGAGTAGTGTATTCGCTTACAGATTTTAAAATTGGATAAATTAAGGTCGCATATGCGACATCACTTATAAAAGTTGGGAAAGTGGCACCTTGTTTACTACTTCACGGTGTTCGACAATTTCGAAAAAATTAGTACCACTGGGAGGCAGTTGCTTCTTGTTTCTCGCACACAACTTAATTTTCTTTAGTCGTCCATACTTTTCCTTTAAAGTGGTTTACGGTAAAACGTTGGTTCCTTTAGCCCGAAATAAGTTCATATTTCAGTTCCTGTTGGGTCTAACGATTTATTCTAATTAAAAATGTCTTTTTCAGACGAAGTGATCCTTCCCTGCCTTCAGTATCGCTTCTCATAAGATTCTTGAGATTTCGCATACATCCAAGCCTTTTTTCAATCGAGTGGCAGTGTCACAAAACAGTATGTCGGGCTCCATGCTGAAAGTAGGGCTACTAATTCCTGACCAGACTCCATTGTTATTTCACTAAGTGAAAAGTAATGGCTTGTAGTTCGGTTATTTGATGCATTGACAAGTCCCTCCTCGTCTCCATAGTACACTTTTATATGACTGTCGGGGTCCATCTGTGTGCAGAAGCTGTTATCTTTTTAGACGGAGGAAATGAACTCCACCCCATACCCGTCTGGTTTCGCTAATTAAAAAGTCGTCAACGAGGTCAATTAACATGGTCTTCGCAGTGTGACCGGACGCAACTGCGAGTGGGAATGTCCGCTTAACTGCTCAGTTTGTTGGGATGTCTACGTTCATTTGAAGTGATGGTGAGTAAGTGGTTTACGACATGACCCAGCTGCAAGTTTTCGGTCAACTGTTCTACGGATATCATGACCAGTCAGTCCCTTACCATTCCATACTAACGGTTGCTTGACACTCTTGTTGGATAGCAGGACCAAATACGATAGCTCAATTTTCCGATCTACAAAACCCTAGGCATATACTTTTAGGCGCGTCTGACGAACATGAAACCTTCAGACCGCTAGTCATCTTTCTGTTAGGCGACTGACTCGAATTCGCACCTACATTTTTCTTTTGTGAATAGCTGACAACGGCAACAACAACCAAGCCAGAACTGTCAGCATTGAGTATTGAATTTTGGGGTGCTTCGCTAAAGTAGGCAAAGCTGGGAGTTCCATGAGTAATGACTAAGAAGACTTCGGGGAGTGCAGAGATCCTGTAACAGCTAAGCGATATTGGTGAACGCTCAGTACGCCACAACTTCAGGCCATATCCCAAGTTGTTAGAAGCAGGACGCCATTTGGTTAGGACACTTGATTCTGTACAGAATAGTGAAGGGAAAATTGGCAACTGGACGAGGATGCGTCCGTCGCCGCGGAGGCGGCGTCCGCGAGAGCGACGAGCCCTGTGTTGCCGAAGGTCGCCGCTGCAAAAGTGTGTCGCTGCAGATTGTTTACTCTATTGATCTGGACTGTTCCCGCCTGTCTTACCAATCAACGATAGGAGTTGCGTTGATTGGCTCCGAGCCCACGCGAAGGTAGTGACAAGCCTCGCGTGGTGCAGGCAGAGAATCGACCGAATGCGTGGTTCAGACAGTGAATTGCAACGAAACAAATCGAAGCCGGGCAGACGTGCGTGCCATAGCAGGCTGTCGCTAGGACGTAAGTGCAGGCGCTAGCGAGAGGCGCGACGTAGCCATTATGGCTGTCCATTACAATCCATAGATTCATGCTGTGGCCTTGCAGAAGACTGTGCCAACTGTTTTGTATCAAACAATGGAATCGAA